TCATACCTATCCAGTAAAATCCAGTCGTAGGTGACTCAATGTCTTCTTAACTCCGAGATGTCCTCCTGTTAAACTATCATGAGAAGTGATCTTTTCCACTGGTTGGTCAGGTGATACCTTTAGGACACCATTTCTCTTATTTTTGTTAATTGGAATGACTAACAATGACGTGGGTAGTTCTCATGTCTTGATAATATTATTATTCTTTCATGTTTTTAATACTTTTTCTCAGTAAATTTGCTTTCGCTATTCCACAACTACCATATTCGTTAGACTTTAATTGTGTTTCACTTTATAAGTAAAAGTTGTTTCATCTTGTTACAAATTGTGTCTAATCTATTTTATTCGTCAAACTCGTTAAAATTCGGAGAATCCTGAATTACTTCATGAAATATTTTCTGTCGAATCTCCTATTATTCAATTTCTCTTAGGGAAAATCGGTGCACAGGAGAATACCACAGTATTACAGAATAACTTGACACATAATTGGTAAATGGTCGTTAATAAATTACAGTAAATGTAAGGTAATGCATTTGGGTTATAACTTTTTGCATTAAAAGTTTCAAATAGATATAAGAACCAACTCGATCAATAGCTAACTGAAGAAAAGTGATGAATAAATCACCCAAGCCGTCAAAGTAGTGCTCTTTTGATAATAGTAGATACAATAGAATTTTAGGGAATACTAGTAGACATATTGGTTACAAATCAAAAGTAGTACATATCTTTCTATACAAGTCACTAGTTAGGTCTCATTTGAAACACTGTGTATATTTTTGGTCTCCTTATGTAAAAAAGAATATTCAATTACTAGAAAGGGTTCCGAGGAGGCCTATTAGAAGAACCGGGGATAGAAGGGTTATCTTATAGGGATAGTTTTAGATCTCTCAACTTAACTTATTCAGAGAAAATACAGGTCAGAAGTGATTTTATTGAAGTTTGTAAGATTATCCGGGGGATCAATAGTGTTTAGTATGCTATATTTTGAATTGAAATAATGGGATGAGAATTAATACAAGCATTTCAGATTTGGAAAAGACAGGTAAGGCTTCAGTTAAGATGGTTTTATTTTTCTAACAGAGTGGTTGGCTCATGAAACGAGTTGCCGTCGTCAGTTGTGAATGTTTGTGTTTTACGAGAGAAATCGATAATTCCCGAAAAATAAAGGGTGTGTCTAAATTTTTACTTTTCCTTAGGGTAGGGTCCAAGGACACCCTGGAAGAAACAAATGATCCCTGGTTATATTAAGTTCAAAAACTCAACTAAATTTTACTGTCCTTTGAATGAAAGTTAAACATTTTTGTTTCCACTGCTTGTTATATTTCGTGAAACTGAGGAAAGTTTTTAGAATAAATTTAAACAAACAAATTAATTGATATAATTGAGTTACTTACTTATATTTTATTCAAGAAGGGTAAAAATACATTCACGATATATATATTGTTTGTCGTTAACTTATATTTCACACCATTCTTAAAATTATTCCGGTTATTTTCTGCACACACACTGACTTAAGGATGTTTTTTTTTTTTCGTTTTTTTTAAACATAGTTTGGAAAATCTATTAAATTATATATGTTTAGGAAATTAAGCATATGAAAATTTTAGTTAAACTATATCTTGTTTTAAAACATACATTTGATTTGAGTACAAGATTTGAAATGAATAGTTTCTTTTCAAAACATTGCATTTGAGAAACTTAGGTACTAAAAATACTAATGAAATATAACCACTTGGGGGACGTAATATTTTGGTCGTATTCAAGACATAAGAAGCTGCTTGGTAGTTTTCCGTATTATGTGAGGTTATTGTGACTGAATAACACAATCATACTTATACAGATTATAGTTTCAAGTTTTCAAGAAAACATTAAGTGATAAAGATATTATTTTACTTTTTGATTTATATTAATGTAGGTAATAGTTTAACGATACGATATGTATTAGCGGTTAACTTTTAAGCCCAAGGAATGAAGGCATGCTTACACTGTTATTCAGTGTTAGTGTTACAACTACAACAATATAAGTTATTATATATATATATATATTGTTTTTCACAGTTTTTGCAATAACTTGAATGAGTAGAACCATAATTTTTTACCAATATTAACTTAAGTTATATATCATGTAACTTCTTAACGACAAAAAGAAAAACGTTTAGGCCTACATTTGATTTGTTCTAGTCTCAGAGTCAAATATAAATAGCAATACTAACGGCAAAATATAAACATCACCGATAGGAAGAAGATTTACTATTAATAAATATTAGTATAACTTGAAAGCTATAATGTTAGTAGTTTTACTCACTTTTAATGTTTTAGTAGGCCTAGGTCTGTTTAATTCAGAGCTATAGAATAACAATTAGTTGTTTTAATGGCTATTATTATTAGTATTACTGTGACAGTAAGAAATGGAAAATGCTGTTTTTTCAGTCTTTTCACTTTCAGAGAAAAGATACTTGTGAAATGTCAACTGCCATGAAATAATTTCAAATTTCTTAAATTTATTCATCGCTACATTCTTTGATTGAAGTAAACTGATTCTGTAGTTAGTAAACAAGTGTAATTTCCATCTCTATTATAATTAAATAGCAGATGCTGAAGCTGATATGCCTTGATCTACCATTAAAAATGTTTGTACCCATACAGAAGTACAAGTAACATAATACTATACTTTGCATAAAACTTCAAATGCTAACTCTGTCTTGGTTAATTGTTGTCACATTGGTAAATTTATTGCTTTTTTTCATCTCGGATGTAAACAAAATGTACCAATATTGTAAGTCTTCTTTTGTAGAATTGGCATATTATTTAATTACCATGAGATAATATTTTAATACTAAACTATCATAAAAATAACAACAAAGTAGTATTTTTTGAGTTCTTATTTTTGGGGGTACTTGCCATGAAAATAGTTGCTGCATAAGATTTTATTTTGAATATAATTTGAAGTAAATTCTGCATGCTAGCATCACTCACAGTTAGGTTAATAATATAGTAGTAGTAGTAATCTATTGCTCTAGAAACCAAAAGTTTGATTTTTTTTTATTAGATTTTATAATTTATTTATAAAATTTATAATTCTTAAATTTTATTCTTTTTAACTTTGTGTATTTCTACAGCACATGGCCTGATTGAAATTGTAGTGGCAAGGAGGTGTCAATTGAACACAATTGAGAACATAATTACATGGTGATAAAGGCCACTGAAGTTGCTATCTATAGATAATATGGAAAACCAGTTTGGATGATGATGTTTTAGGATGTAGATAGTTTAAAACAAGGATATTAACAATACATGTCATATTACTTATTATTGTATCTGTAATCTCATCAGTTACATTCAAAATAAAATTTAATGTTATATATATATATATATATATATAT